GGGAAAAGCGTCTACTGTCTGACTTGCCGGTACATTTTCGAAATAGAAGTCCATATTTTGTAGAGGTTCGTGAGACAAGAACATTTTGAGAGATGTTACACGGAAAAACGAAAGCTAAAAAGAAAACATAAACAGCTGAAGCAGAAGCGGATTAACATGCGATATAAATCTCTCGGTTATCAGTTCACAAAAAAAGAGAATTGAAAAGAAATAACGGGGGAACTAACGAAGCATGGTACATCTATCAAAACCATCTAAGAAAAGCTGCTTTAGTCCATAATTTTAAAGGACATCCTGTATCACTGGATGTACCAACATGTTCAGTTGTCACTAAAATGCATTTGCAATTTCTTTCTTTTATTCAACCATTCAGCATGTTCACTAACACTCTTGCGTAACAGAACAGTAGACAGTGCACTTATAACAGTACCCTTGAGAATGGAAGCCAATATTTCTTTCGTGATACCGACTGATCTTCAAAGATGCTACATTATTGCATTCAAATCAACGTATTTGCTGTGTAATGGATCGTGGAACATACTGGATAACGATTTCGTGAACAGCAGGTTCTTAATTGCGGAAAGTGAAAATACGCAATTTTTTGCAGTAAGTTTTCAACAGAGGTTGTTGCAAAAATACTTGACACTTTACAAAACCTAAATCGAAAAACGTGTATAACTAACTAGTCATTCTAAATAATAAAAAATTCAGTTTAAGAGGACAACATCGCGTTTGGAGTATAATGACGCCATGAAGGGAAGAATCCTGAGAATAACAATAGGGTGCTACAATGAGTCGCGTAAAAATACACCTAAATGTCTATTGTTGAAGATGCAGGGAACAACGAAATGTAAGTATAACGCCTCGTATGAGCAAGGTAAGGCAAACAAAGATCTCCAATTGCGATTGCTTTATGCGATTCAAACCGTAGTTCTTCTTAACCCTTCACATATTGTGCATTCATGCTTCTAAATATAAAGCATCTTGATTTTAATATAAGTTTTTCTTTTCCAAAACAACATTATCATCCAGGTCCTCAGTTTTCTCTGCCACCATTACCTAAGCCAACAACGTCACCATGGACGATCCAAACCACCTCAGAAACAGGCACCAGTAAAAACGATTTCCAAACACACAGTATTAGTACATCCCAGTCAACTACTATGGTAAGTAAAACTATCCCTAGTCAAATCCTTGCATTAGTTCATTATAAATAGATGAATACTTGGAAGAGTTTATATGCCGCAACTAGCATTACAAAGAAAGCTCTTTTTCTAATTTCTTAGGAATCCACGACATTTATTAATAACCGCAAGAAAAACGCAACCGAAGGAAACGACGGTGGTAACACTTGGTGGATCATTGGGGTAGCAGCGGGAGTGATTGGATTAATGCTGATCATTATTGCCATAGTGATTGTCATGAGACGGCGAAAAAAGAGGTAGTAAATTTCCCCCAAACGAATACGATATATAATGTTATCTTCTAGGTTGGTGTCATAATATTAACAAATAGATGATTCTTAAATCATTAAAAAAATTGGAAAATAAAACAACAAATGCTTGAAGAATCCTATATCTATAAATAAAGACTATGACATTCTTATCAAAGATAAAGACTGTATTTGTCCCTGATGTTGTATAATGTGAATGCAAGGGCACTTCAGGAGAATCATCTGAAATCTCGAATATCAGCAAAGTCACAAAGAGCGCAGCTCAACTTGGATAACACAAACACTGAAATTCATTTCAAACTGTATATAAATATGAACAGTCGATTTTATGGTAGGCAGTAATCCACAAGAAAATGAAAAGTCAGGGCCACTTTGGAAATCGCTCAGTTCTTTTTGTTACACGTTTAATAAATAAAAAACTACTTTTTTTGTAATGAAATTAATTAAAATAATTTAATTATGATAATGATTGTGAAAATTATATAGTATGATATACCCTGCGAGCAGAGTCTCCTAAATCCAGAGTCTCCTTTTCCCACAGAAAAGCTGCAGCAGCGAAAAGTAAAACAACTGTTGGTAAGTCAAAATTGGTTATAACTATTATAACATAGTGTTAATATGTCATGCACAATATTGATGCAAGAAGACATAATAGTATTCAACTATACCACCAGGCCACGACCTATTTGTGGTGCACATTATTCAAGCAATTAGATATAATGGTATTTCCAGCGTTACTTCCAAAAGTTTTTTTGGCTTTATTTTTTTCAGAAAATGTTAGTTACGAAAAAGGGGTTGACAACTCCTTGAAGATGACTGACTGCGATGGTCACAAGTCACTGGACCAGGATGAGTACTCGTATGCCTATACGAATGCAATAACACTTGGCAGAAGAAACATGTCGAATGGTCAACCTAATAAAGGTAAGTCCTCGTAAAAGAGAAAGAAAAAAGTTTTACTTGCATTTTGGTAGCACCCAGAATCCGTCACCTGGAGCTGATAATGGCTACTTAGTTTTGTTACGAATAGGCTTCCTAGTCAAAACTATTCAGTCCTATTAGCCATTCCGAGCAACGTGTTCATTCAATGATCGTCAATTTCTAGTCAATTGAATTAGCTAAATTAACAGAAATAATTTGGTTTTATTTCATAAGATCCACAAAATACCGTGTCCAATGATGGTAAGGTTGAGGGTTTGGACAAGCATGGTTCTGTATTTCATCCCAGTGCAGGGCCTGTTTTCAAAGTACTTGAAGCTCCAGAGTATGCTGAGGTTAATAATCCCAAGGAAGAAGTTAAAAATCGACCTTATTTTGATAGTGCAATGTACAACAAAAAGGTAG